GCGTTGTCGCGTTGTAAACCTGTTTAGTTACCTTTTGTTATGCTAAATTTGCCATGAGTTGTAGTCGCGACATAAAAAGTCGCACAGCATGTGCAAACTAACTTGACATACCACATTACAATAAACGATTGTAACATACGTTTGCTGGTGACGTCTGCGTTGATTTAATGAAACAAAAATATCTCAAACGCCTGTAGATGTGAGAACATTACAGGCACATTTTCAGGCGTCTCAAAATATTACAACGTTCAGCCCCAGCTCCAAACTTTGACTAGCGTGAGAGCAAGCCCTCATTACGAGCCCTTCAATACGAGCGTTTCTTCACCGACAAATAAGTTTTGGGCCTTGAGTAACACTAGGTGAAGAGAGGTTTGCAGGGTGTCATGCTTGTGGGTTTGAATGATTGAATTGAAGGATTCGTGTCGGAAATGACGAGTATCAGGTTCGCATTGAATAATTGAATGTTTGGAAAAGGAGTTCGAATATTTGAAGTGATGAATAGGGTTACCAAATTAAACAACTGGATGTCTCCATAGTCGAACAGCAGATCTGACCTAAAAGATTAAGCGTTGGAATGGAAGAATTGCCGGTTTGAATTGAAGAGTAGAGTGTTTGAATTGCAGAACAATTGTTTCAAAATGAAGGATTGCATGTTTCTGTTGACAAAAGGCCTGTTTGAACTGGCGAATAGTGTATTTGAATTGACAAGTAGCAGGTTTGCGATAAAGAATTGCATATTGGAATAGAAAGATAGCATTTTTACTTGCGGAACTGACTATTTTGAATTGCTAGATTGAAAATTTAAAATGCCCAATAGCATGTTTGAATTAGATGACTGAATGTTTGGGTAGTAGAAAGACATTTTTAAAACGAAGGATTGCACGTTTGAATAGAAAAACAGCATGACTGAATCGAAGAAATATTGCTTTGAATTGAAAACAATGGATGTTTCAGTAAACAAATAGCGTATCTGAATAGTCAAACAAGAAGTTTGAATAGAAAAATAGCAAGTCTGACACGAGGATCTGAATTTTGACACTAAAAAAAATAGGACACAACGGTGTGATTACAGTTTCGAATTACCCTTATCTCTTACCTCCCTTTCGAAAAGAAGTGTTATTTTTCATGTTTTTTAAATTTTCATTATTTTCACAAAAGCGACTCAGATTGATGTTTTCTTATGGTAGAATCTCTTTATCTGGAAGCTTTAAGCTGCAAGAAATTTCCATAATTCTTGACAAGTCAAGATGTATAATTACTGGAATACCTGTGGTAGCCCAGTCATAAAACCTCACTACACCTTCGTTCGCAAATGTTCTTTGACCCAGAATTGACAGTTCTTCTGCTCTGTGGCTTCTAACTGTAAATGTTCGATCAAGACAGAATTGAAATACTTATTTAAACTTCTTTCGTGCGATGATGTATTGATCGGCATGGTTCAGATAATAATGTGACCAATTATAATGTAGATAGACAACCTTTATTTTAGCACGATAGTAGTAAAAGCTATGCAGCTTATGGGGTTAATTGTGATGGATGGATGCCAGTACATTACACATAAATACCTCCCTTGTTCCACAGCATTTTGTTTACCAATACTCATATTTTACATGATTATCCTCCAGAGCAGCTAGATAAATACCCACCCGTGCCCACTTCTCTGAGGTAAATAGTTCTTTTAGTATAACTACAATTTACTTTTAAATTAGTTTAATTTCAGAGCTGAGCAAAGAGTTTCCAGCAATCTGATTGGTCAAGTGGTTCCTTATATGATGCTGTATAAACCGTTCCACGCGGTTTATGTTACTAAAATGTTATGATTTTGGAAATTTCTCTGTTGTTCAGCTCTGAAGTTATACTAGAACAATTACTTGCCTCAGGTTCAGTGAATATTGTTGAATAATTGTTAAATAAAACGGTGAGATGATTGATGTTCAAAAAAAGATGATTTCGACTAATTGATTTTTACATCAATTATAATGTTTTTGGGTCAAATTCCATCAGAATTGCTTGGAGGTGAATACCAAAGGATATTCAGAGTTTGGTAACCTGAATCAGAGTTTGCCTTCAATGCCAGCCACTGTTTTTAAATATGTACTAATTAATTATGGTTTATCAGGGTTCGCTGAAACCATGCGAGTCCTCTGCTTGTACAAACGAGAACTAAAATCAGACTTAAGACTGTTGTCATTGAAATCCTAATTTAGTTCACTATACATATATATAGACAATATTTCTGAACTACTCTAAACAGTGAACTTTTATTTTATTTATTTTATTTTAAATTTATACACATTTTAGGTTATAAAAGCTTACCAAGATTCACAGCCTAGCAGTCAGTTGTCGCCTCATGTATATTCAAAATCCAAGGCAATTGTACGGTCAATGCACCATTCATCAAAAAGTCAGTGTTGTGTGTTGACTGGTGATAGTGCATCAGGGAAGACTGAGTCCCTCAAGCACATTCTGGATTACGTTGTCAGTGTTTCTTCGCCCACAGGTGCCAGTATGAAAGCCAAATTTTCAAAGGTACCCACACCTTTTACTTCACAGATTTCTTTTTGTTAAAAATAAAATATAAGAATACATGATATTTAAAAGAAGGTAAAACAAAAATGTAACTTAAACAGGCCAGAATACAAAAAAATATCTGGTGGCTTGTCCTGTTGCATAATGTCTATGTCTATATGTTTAAGAGTCAAAAAATGGCAAGGTAACAAAAATATTTATGCATTCAGGGCAGGTTAACCTGGTTAATATTGTCCCTTATGAGTATTATATATGACATATAATGGTTTCATTTAATCTCACCCCATGTAATAGGTTCATTTTATTTTGGAAGCTTTTGGCAATGCAGTAACTGCACAAAACAGAAACTCAAGCAGGTTCGCAATGTACTACGAGTTGTACTTTTCACCCGAAATGAAGTTATCAGGAGGTAGGCTGAATTTTCTGCTAATTTTCCACTAAATTCTTTGAACTGCATGGCTAAGTACTGGGTACCAGTTGAACACTACAGTTTATGGGTGACTATCCACATAATTCTTCCTTGGAATCAGAATCTTCTTTGTAGTTCTTACAATTATTCATCAGTTGTTCTTGTAATTACTAAATAGGGTAAATGCATTGTCCATCTATAGTCAGTCATAATTAACTTATTATTCCACATAATCGACAGTATTTTGGGGACTTTATACACTTCTATGGCTCATTAACTTATGCAGCTATTCTGTTACTAAATGAACAATTCAGCTTACGTTTACTACATATACTAACTCTACGTGCCTTATATTGGGCTATTTAAAACTTTGACATTTAATTCCCACAAGGTTCCTCTACCGAAAATATTTTTATGATCAGTGAATATTTTACAGGAAAGGTGCACCACTACATGTTAGAAAAGTCAAGAGTTGTTCATCAAGAAAAGGTGTTTTAAAGAAAAAGTTATTGTTAATGATTATAGAAAAAAATCTATTATATAGTGATATTGTTGGCTATATCATAATAAAGAAGTGCATGTTATGATGCAAAAAAGAGTTTTAATCATTCATAACAGCAACCTTTTTTTAAGCCTAACATGTTGCTAAATTAATGAATATGTAATGTATGCGGCAATACTTATGCAGGTGTTGCATGAGAATTTCATGGTGTCTCAATAAGTAACTGTACATAATTATGGATGATGTTGGCTTGGCCTAAATAAAGTAATCTCATGGCCCTGACTAATTGATAACTAATGTTAAAAAAAAATTCCTCTCAGTGAAGGATTTACATATCATGTAGTAATGTATACATATTTTTTTTATAATTTAATATCAATGAACTAATCACTATATTCTGCACCTTCTTAGGGAGCAAAGAACTTTCATGTATTCCATTATCTTTTGTATGGATTGGATATAGATGAACAACAAGAGTACAATTTGAATGCTGAATATCCTCACAGGTAAAATGATTTCGTAGCACCTCTTAACACTTCTTATTTTTCTAACTAGCATTATGGTTTAGAGGAAAACTTGGACTTATAGTTACTGTAGTGGTAACTTGCTAAAATACATTTAACCCTACACTTTGGAGTTAATCCTGATTATTGTAAGTTGATTGAAATAAATTTTCCTTTAACCCTTCAACTG